TTGAAATAAAGGCGCGAGGGCACGAATCCTCTTGAGGTTTTTCATACCTCATTGAGGTCTATCTATCACCAAAAGATGGGATCTAAATCGCTTAATCACCTAAATATGTTCCCTCGTCAGTATAATTCTCTTTTGCGCGACCTGGCCTTAAGACACAACTTTCCCCTTCTCGATCTTTTTGTTGCACCTACACATTTAAACCGTGATGGTCTTCATCTTCATCCAAGTCATTGTTCGACGATTTGGTCATCGATTATGACATATTTCGCTTCTTCTCTTCGCGAAACACATCCTTCTTCTACTCTCGAAACCGTCGCTCTTCCACGTACATGTATACATACACGTTCTCGTACAGCGCTCGCTAGCCGTAATCATAGACGTCACCTTAAACTTCGTTTACGTCAACAGTGCTTTGTTGTCGTGCGCGATATCGACCCACTGTGGCGCTTATCCGATGTGAAGAATTACCTGGACTCTCAACAGATCATCTATGTCAACATCTCCAACTTTCGTCATCAACAAGTCTCTATTCGATTTCATAACTTGCTTCGACAAGAACATGCTGAACAAATCTTGTCTCCAGATGTCTTTGACGTTGCTCACTATCACCTTTGGAAATGTCAAGGTCATTAACTTTTTCCTCAAGTTATATTCGTTATACTCGTTTATTTGTTTCTCTTCTGCAGAAGTTTTGTTATACTTGTTCAGTTGGCTTCCTTGATTAGGGAGGCAAGCGTACGCTCAATCAATCTCGCGGAGAGGGAAGGTGTTAGCGTCATTGGATATTACTTCATGACGCTACCTTCTACATAGTTGTTTTCTTCCATTTCTATACATATACATATATATGTATTTCTCTTTCTCTTTCTTTCCTGTCGTTTTAGTTTTCGTTTGATCCTCATATCCGTTCTCATGATGATTTCTGTGACTGTATTTCTTCTTTTTCTATTTTTTTCTCAGATCATCTTCGATCTGTATATATGTTGTTGTTTTTCTCTTTTTCAGCAGTCTTTTTTTATCACTTTCTTTAGTGTTTTATTCGATTTCATCCAATAAAACACCATTATCATCTCATCCACATCCATTCTCTTCATTTTTCATCATTTCCAGCCATCTCAGGTAGGTTCCGCGACGTGATTCTTGATCTTACATCAGACCATTCATTTGATTAGTCGGTTCAGCTTACGATATAGTCGGTAGCTGGAGGTTTCATCACATCCCCTGATACAAGAAACTCACATAAATCAATGCTGTTTTTCAAAGATTTTTTTTTCAACTTTCAAACTATCAAAGCTTCACACAATTATATGCATTTTATATTCAAAACAACTTCCGTCTCTTTCAGATAACTTTAATACCAAAAACTAATCACAAAACGAACAGTTGAAATGAAACTTCTCTTTCTACTCACTTCCTAGCACTAATGTTTTCTTCTGAACAAGATCAATTTTGATTCCATCAAAATTCTATTTAACATACAAAGTGAATACGGGAATTTTTTACCTGTTGTCGATAAATAAGAAAAATGCATGAATTCATTTATTTCTGTTTTATTTCAAAATTCTTTTATTTTAATAGGCGAATTCATTTTTTTATTTGCAAATAAAAAGCAAGTTTTGTTCATGT